TTCTTGACATGTCACAATATGCAGCAATAGTTTAATTGCTCCACCTTTTTATTATGAAAAAGCCAGCTTTAAGCTTCAGTTAAGAAATTATGCCTAAGCTGAGATGATGTTACCATTCCTCTGCAGGCAGGAGGAATTGTTCCGACAGTCTGTTCTCCCTCAGTGATGCAGCAGGGGCTGATCAAACATTTATGGGCAGAGCAAAGAACTGCATAGGCAAGTGAAGCAACGCTAAAACTAAATATGCAATAAGTATTTGATGATTAATAATGAATATGCCAAAAAGTGCAAAAAAAAACTGTGCAACTTCTATATAAAGTGCAACCGTCCCCCAATAATTGATTGTACATGTGTCTGTGTGTATGTACATGTGTGTATCTGTACATGTGGCTGTGCGTATGTACATGTATGTGTGTGTGTACAGGTATCTCTGTTTGTGTGTGTTTGTTGGTGGCGAGTAACTCTAAGGCCTGGCTAATAGCTCAGGACTTGACATTTAGGACTGTACTGTATCTTAAATGTGCAAAAATGTTCATAAATTCCTTGAAATATGTTGTGCTACAACTAACTAGTGCAAAAAATGTGACCTTTCTACATAAGTAAAGTGCAACAACATCCATCCATAATGATATAATAATGTGCCGCTTCTTCACCACCTGTTTTGGACAAGGTAGTGGGCTCCAAGAGTATCCTTAAAAAGTGCTCATTCTCCAGATCTTATTGACCCCCTACATGCAGCATGTACATTTGTGTAAGAGAGCTCCAATGTTTTATCCAGTACTCAGTTTCTTATCCATTATTAAATCACTCTCCAGAGGGTCACAGGAACAGCTATACCCAAAACATCCTAATATGGTACTCAAAAAGGGAGACAAACCAGGGGAGACATCACACATATATTTAACCGGGGGGAGACACATCATATATTTACTAAAAAGAATTGCTCATACATAAAATATTGCATTCACTGTAATGATGCCCCTTCAGCACCCCAAATTACAATTCCTTGGTGTGAACTGGATAGACCAGTGTTTTTATTTAACCTTACCAACTATGTAACTATGTAATAGCAGACAAAAACATTTGTGTAACCCTGTAGCCTCCCTGGCGGTATTCCCGAATGTAGTTCGGGGTAAAGTTTTAGTAAACACAAGCGGTAACCCCGAGCTACACTCGGGCTTACCATGCGGTGCTGCTCCGGGATCCCTCGATCACTTACCTTGTCCTGCGCTCCTGCGATGTCCCCCCTGCAGTGTCCTCGGCAATGTCCTCCTGCGGATGCCGGCATCTGTCATCTGGGTTCCGTCTCCTGCGAGCGTCGGGACGTACGGGGATGGAACTGGCGGGAAATTTGAAAATGACAAAAAGTGATATTCACTAAATACACTAAAATCACATAGTATAACATTCCTGTATCAAACCATTTCACATACATTTTGTCCCGAGTGCTTTGTCCGGCTCCCTGCCTGCATTTTTGCTGTTCTTTCTGCCTGGAAACTGAGAAACGTCCATGGCGTCCAAAAAGCGTCCCTTTAGGTCAAAATCAGTTTTAGACCGGCTAGAGAACAGCGATAGTAAATCAGAACCACTTGCAGAATTGAGTGATAATGATTCGTGGGGGAAATTCCTCATCAGACACTGAAAGCGATTCTGCGACTTTGCTCAGTGATGTGCGAACTTGGCGCTCTATTTCAAATTTCAGTGTTTTTGGTTTGATTATATTATTGAATTACATTTATTATTATTATATTATTATTTTTTATGATTATTTATTATATTATATTATAATTTATGATTTTGTGTTTCAAATTTTATCCTACCCGGGATGTTTACTAGACTCTTGTTCGGACAGATTTCAGTGAGTTATTCCTAAAAATTACAGCCTACAATAAAAAAAAATACATATTTCCATGCAAAAAAATTTACCGCTTTTGAACACAGAAATATGGACATAATCAGACCGCTAGGGAGGTTAAACATCCAAACTCCTGTGAATTTCCTGAAGACAATCAGTGCTTAGCCATAACTAGCTGAAATCCCCCAGGGTAGAGAGTCTAAGCCTCAGCTGGTTTTCACCTGAGCTCCATAAGTTGGAGATGGGTTTCACTTTGTGCTGGTGCTAGGTCATGACCATCAGGTTCACCCTACTTATGGTGCGGAGGCAAAGCCATGGGAGCCGATACAGAACTGAAGAAGTATTGGTGGAGCCAAGAGGGTAGAGATGATAAGAAGATCCAGTAAATAGGCCAAAATCAGAACAGGTGACAAACAAATTAATCCAAGGAGGAGCCAAGCTCAGCACACAGAAGATCAATCCAGCTAAGGACTTGGAGGCGCCATCTGCGGTAAAGACTGACAGCACAGGAGAAAGGAATGTAAGTGGTTATATACCCTTTTCATGTCCACACAGTCTTGCTTATTAACTATTAGCTGCCCGGCCTATAGCCATTTGGCGGCCGCAAAAATGCTTTAGCTTTCCGGGGTGTACGCCATTTGGCGTCCTCCCGCACATGCGCAGTTCGCGCGGTTGAAGAGCCGATAACAGATCTGAGTACTGGCCCCCGTTGCCTGTACCATATGACCTGCTGTGACCAATCACAGCAGGTCACATGACAGTTGTATACAATGGATGGCTTCATTCATGCCATCCATTGTATACTAGTGCCTAGCTGTGAATGGTCACAGCAGGTCACACGCACATGTCATGTGATTAGCTGTGGCCAAATCACAGCTAAGCACAAAAAAAAAAAAAAAAAAAAACCCTGAATGAATCGATGTCATTCAGGTAAATGCTTGCTTATAGCAAAGTAATTCTTTGCTATAAGCAAATTGTGTAAAAAAAAAAAAAAATACTGATCACTTCCCAAAAGTAGTACAATGTTACTATGGTAACATTGTACTACTTTGGTCATAGTAAAATATTTAAAAAAATCTTAAAAAAAAAAAAAAAGTATTAAAAAATTAAAAATAATAATAAAAAAAAAAAAAAAAATATATATATATATATTTTTTTTTTTTCATACTGTCACCAGTCAGTGCCCCTGTTCACCGCCATGCCAGTTATATGATGACGCTGTACTGCACTGGTGACAGTATGTAGAAAAAAAAAAATAATAAAAATAATGTTTTTCATTTCTTCATTTTCCGAAAAATTATGACAAAAAAAATACAACTTAAAAAAACTCTCGCCATTCCTCTTGTGAAGTACGTCGGACTGTCTACTTTACAAAAAGGGGGTCATTTGGGGGATATCTGTACTGTTCTGACATTCTTGGACCTCAAGAAATTAGATTGGCTGTCAGTACTTCAGGATTGATCAATTTTCAGATCTATACCATAGTTTGTGAACTCTATAACTTTCCTACAAACTAAATAATACATCCTAATTTGGGTTATTTTCACCAAAGACATGTAGTAGAATACATCTCGGCCTAAATTTACAAAGAACAATTATTTATTTGTAAACTTTTATAACAGAAACAAAGAAAAACGTGGTTTTTTTCAAAATTTTTGGTCTTTTTTTGTTAATTTAGCAAAAAATAAAACCCCAGCGGTGATTAAATACCACCAAAAGAAAGCTCTAGTTGTGTGAAGAAAATGATAAATTTTTATTTTGGGTACAATGTTGTATGACCGCGCAATTGTCATTCAAAGTGTGAGAGCGCTGAAACGTGAAAAATGGCCTGGGCAGGAAGGTGTAAAATTGCCCGGTATTGAAATGGTTAACACTCTACAACAACCTTTCTCAACCAGGGTTCTGTGGAACACTGGGGTTTCTACAGAGGTTACCAGGGGTTCAATGAACAATTTCTGCCTCTTAGATAAGCTCCCATTGACACCACTGTTTTTTTAAGGTAGCTATCTGTAAGAAGGGGGTTTTCCCAACGACCACCAATGGATGGAACATTCTTCCTACTAATCACCAATGTGAGGAGTATTTTCCCACTGACTACCAATGTAAGGAGCATTCTTTCCACTGACCACCAATGTAAGGAGCATTCTTTCCACTGACCACCGCCAACCTAAGGTGAATTCTTTCCACTGACCAGCAATGTACGAAACATTCTTTCCATTGATCACAAATGTAGGGATCATTCTTCCCACTGACCACCACACTAATGTACAGTAAGCTATAGATTTAGTAATTATTAGCAGGGTTTCCCAGAGACCAAAAAGTTATTTCAAGGGTTCCTCCATATTGAAAAGGTTGAGAACGGCTGCTCAGCAAGGTTAGGAGTGCTGAGGACAACCACCTGGCCAATGACCTGACTGAAACCATGATAAAAATACCCCTCCAACTGTCAAGGATGCTTTAAACAGCATTCTCTTACATAAAACAATTTAGTTACAATGTTTCTGCAAGTGTAACGATTTTTATAGTAGTTCAACAATTTCAAAGATCGCATTGCTTTATATGCACTTTAAATGTATCTAATTACTCCTGATCTTCTTTTCTCGACACCAAATTAATTTGCTTCCTCGGAAGCACCAAATTAATGAAGTATTTTGACTTAGCATGCATTTCACTGTAACGTTTATTTCTGGTACAAAATATTTACACGGAAATCATTAAGAAGTCTGCAAATAAAAGGACTGCATAAAAGCTATATGGCAAGCGATGGCTGAAATAAATCTCTTATCTTTGGTCATAATTTTAATGGAAGTCATTTTGCTTTGCATCTTCTAATGCATTGACAGATGGGAGATATGGTCCACCACAACCATTTGTAATTACTTAAGAGTGGTTTTAAAAATCCAATTAACATGTTCGAATTTTATAGGCAGAATGTACCAACTGTCTTATGGCAAAAAGTAATAAAAGAAGGGTTTTTTTTGTTTTTCACAAACTGTCTATCTGTAATAAAAGATCTGTCCATCCAATATTTACTAATATAGTTCAAGATATTTGTACATCCCAATGATATACGTATCTTCTTGCAGTGCTTGGCTACTTGGGAGATATACTTTTGCTTTTGTTGTTAGCTGTCATTGCTGGGCTATTGAGCTGGGGGCAGGAAATTACTCACCCCATAGCTGCACATATACATAGGGGTGGGAGCAGGGGTGGACTGACCATTTGGAAACTCGGGCACTGCTCGAGGGCCCGGGGTCAGTAGGGGGCCCCATGAGATGCCCCTGGTACCTTTTTCATAGGCTTTTTTGAGTTTGGGCAAGGACACAGGGGCCCCATGATCCTCTATTGCCCAGGGGCCCCATGAGTTGTCAGTCTCCCTGGGTGGGAGTGCTTTTGATATCATTGACCTAATATGAGGACATGGCTGTATTAGGTCAATGATGTCTCAAGTATCCCTGTACCATTGTGAACATTAGCTTTGGGCAGGGAATCTCTCACTGGCAGTTCATTGGCCAACTTGGTTTGGATGAACTTGGTTTTGGACTGATGGATTGAAATTTGTCCAGCTCATCAGCAAGTTTCATGCAATCCAGAGAAGCTTATTTAATGATCAACTTGTTGAACTGGCTAACTGGCTTGTTGGAAAATGTATTAATATATTTTTTTTTTGGGGGGGGGAACACTTGCATGCTTGCTGCCCCATCCTTTCCTGGCCACATAGGCTGGAAAAGGGTCTGGTATAGAATTTTAGGGGGTCGCCTGCAAAAAAACAAAAATCAAAAAAATGGCATGGGGTCCCTCTCATATAACACCCATAGCCTACGTAGGGATCTGGTATGGATTTTTTGGGGAGAAGGGGGACTCTGAGATATCCCCTCCCCACCCACTTAAATGAGTTTGGGGTATGTAGTAATCCTTGTTACCCATTCACAAAAAAATTACAAAGAAAATAAACACACATTATAGATGTCCCACAATGCAAATCCAACATTAATCATGTTGTCCAGCAATAAAGATTCATCATCAGTCTCAATGAATGATGCCCCAATGACCCAATGAGACAAATATCCCAACCTGCACCAATGATCCTATCAAGCTGTACTTTTGCCAAAATTGACAGTTTTAAAACTGTCTGGCTGACTGTTAACAAACTGGCTGGCTGATATCATTAATTAATTAATGTCACCCAAGATTTTCAGGCAACTTAGTTTACAAGCAGAAGTAGGCAATGGGGCTGGAGTAGTCACTTAACAGCAACTTCACATGAAGGCTTAAGGCCAGAGGCGGACTGACAACTCATGGGGCCCCCTGGCAATAAGGGATCATGGGGCCCATGTGCCCTTGCCCAAACTCAAAAAAGCCTATGAAAAAGGTACCAGGGGCATCTCATGGGGCCCCCTACTGACCCCGGGCCCTCAGGCAGTGCCCGAGTTCCCAAATGGTCAGTCCGCCCCTGCTTAAGGCATCCACCAAGCAGACAGACACACTGAGGAGAGCTACCAACTCAGGTATATTCACTAATCTACACTATATAGAAGAAATTGGGAAGAACTGTCTGTGCTCAAATACAAATAGCTCACATAGAGCTAAGCAGGTGTGACCACTGAACAACACTGAAAACTCTCACTTGACCTTTGCATACTGCTATAAACCCTTCCATATTTCATGCAAGCTTTAGGATAAAAACAGGGATTTTTTTTGGTTCACATATATTGCAATAGATGTCTTTCTGCTTCAAATTGCCATGATAAATCCACTAAGGTTTTCCACAAGCAAGAAAATATTTGACATTTTGCAGAATAGAGCAGGAACTGGCTAGCTATGGATATTATTGACAAGCTGGCCAGTAGTGATGACCCAAATGCACCTGTGGTTGGTTGGAGGCAGGTTCAGGTGCTGGATCAAACAGCAATGACCATATTCTAGGCTAATAAGTAAGGGATTGTCAAAATATTCCATTTTGATGTGGAGTAGCAATTTTAATAATGCTTTAAGGGCAACATAAAAAATGAAAAATTATTTTAAATAACATGCCTGTCTCCATACGCTGGGATGCCCGGTATGCCTTGCTTCATTGCCCCATACCGGGCCTCTTGGCTCACCAGCAGAAGTTGGCTTCTTATTTGTTTTTATCAGCCACTAGAACAATTGCTCAGGCCTGGAAGAGTCCGTTTTTCCCTATTCAGGGGGTGCGGGATCGTATGACTACTATGATGCTCAACGAACAGATGTCGAGTATCCGCAACGACTCCCATCGTAAATTTTTGAAAATATGGGAACCGTGGCTGCAATATGCCTTACCCACAGTCCCCCCGGCTAGTCTGGGGATGTAATGGCGTTCGATACTGGCGCTCTTGGACCCCTGCTTTTTGCCCCCCCACACTTTTTTTTTTTTCACTTTCTCTCTCTCTCTGTTTTTGGTGTGACTGGACAGCTGCCTTTAGTTGTTAGAGTCAGTTGCATTAATGTTTTGTACCTTATGTGCCATTGATAGCCCCTGCGTGGGCGTACCTTTTGCCCTGTTGGCGTTAGAGCACTGTTTTTCTTTTTATTTTGCACATTTTTTTTTCTTTTCTCTCTGTGGAATTGATAGCCCCTGTGTGGGTGTGTTTTATTGCCTCTCTTTTATAAAATGCTTAAAAATTAATAAAAACCATTGGAATATATAAATAACATTCCTGGGGGATGCAGTTTTAATAATCAACAAATTAATTTTAAGGGGAATTCAACACAAAAGCGTATCCATACCAGACTCATCCATACCAGGCACTTATTTGGAAATACAGCTTGGCAGGCCAGAAAATAGGTAGTAAGTGCATGCCCTGCCTCTTGAACAGGGGCGGACTGACAACTCATGGGGCCCCCAGGTAATAGGGGATCATGGGGCCCCTGTGTCCTTGCCCAAACTCAAAAAAGCGTATGAAAAAAGGTACCAGGGGCATCTCATGAGGCCCCCTACTGACCCCGGGCCCTCGGGCAGTGCCCGAATTTCCAAAAGGTCAGTCCACCCCTGCTCCTGAACCATACAAGAACACATATCCTCAATATGGGGAGAGTAACATGTTGATGAGGACAAGGGCCTCTTTAACACAATCTTAGCATGGGGGCTGTGGGGATTTTCAGTTGAGGGAATTATTAGGAAGCAACAAGGGGCCCCTAGATACCAACCCCATGTAAGGATGGTACATAGTACCGCTACTTATTCACACACACAAAAGAGTAAAAAGCAAAGGAAAGGTGTCATTGTCAAGGGTTAGGCTCAGATACCAAGAGCTGTAGCAGTAGAGAGGCTCCCAGCAACCAGCAGGATAAGTACACGAGCAGGTCACCCTGGAGTATGATGCAGGCTCATCTGAGGCTTGGGGTCTAAGCACTAACAGGTCTTCAGTAGAGCTTCTGAGGTTTTGCTGCATGATAGTGCCAGGTTGTGGTCTTCAGGATCACCCCACCAAGAGCTGAGCAAGTTGGGGTCTGGTAGGGATCCAGCAGAAGTGTTGTCAGTAAACAAGCAGTTGGGATCAAGTGGAAGAGTAGTTGATGCGCAAGCCAAAGGGTCGATAGTAGATTGGGATCAAGTGGACCCATAGTCAAGGAATGAGCCAAAGAATGGTAAATAATAGCGGTGAAGATACAGATGTCAGCAGGAGTGAAACAAATGAGATATTGGCTGAAGAAGAGCACAATAATCTGACATACAGGCAGTGCAGAGAAATGGCTTAAATCAGGAAGTTCATGGGAAAAGAGGTTAAGGATCATTAGAAACCAGGTACAAGGCAAGAGCCAAGACAGACTAAATCCTCTGATTCAGACAAGTTTTTTTATGATTTGATTGATAATGGTAAGATACCCCCTGACCTCCCAGTGACACTGATGTTATGAATGATTTGATATTACTGTTAACAGCAAAATGCAGATTTATACATATCTTCTTATAAAAAAAAAATGATGTAATATGCATTATATTTTGTGTTGTTTATAGGGTATTGATTATATTTTTTAGTTCCTTCACAGTGTGACACAACTATATCCCCTGAGGAAGCCTGATGGACGAAACATGTCGGGATTCATCACTCAGAACATTTATTGGTTGGAACTATTATCTGTGAGATCTATTGAATATAATGTTCTGTATTGTTTTTTATGAAATTTCATGTTGAATTTTAATCCTATATTTGAAATAAAATCTTCAGTGGTTTTATCTTCACAATTCTGTAGTTCTTGAATGACCTTGCACCTATAAAGTCCTCAATTTGAAGGAGTGAGATTCTCTCCTGTCTTTCTATATATATATATATATATATATATTTATACATATCTACTGTCTTTGTTAGCACCAGTCAAGCTGTTCTAAAGCTCTACGTTTCTTACCTCAATGAATTCTTTGTATTAAGGTAAAACACCTTTTGTGTCCAGGATCTCCCCATCCCCAATACCTAAGTCCAATCTGGATTCAGCTCTGCGCTCCCTCCTTCTTTACAGGGTACGCTGATAGTAGCATTAGGGCCATTTTCCCCACAATAACTTACTGCAGTACAGTAAAAAAAAAAAGTAAAATATAGGTAAATAAATTTACATAAATGTAATCAATGCAGGTGCCTATATGTGACTTGGTTTTATTATTATTATTATTATTATTATTATACAGTATTTATATAGCGCCAAAGGGTATGCTCAGCGCTGTACAGTAGCAAGGGGGACAGAACATGAGACAAGACAGTAACAATACACTACACGAGGGTTCGAGGGCCCTGCTCTTTCAAGCTTACAATCTAGGAGGGAGGGGAAGGTGGCTGTGGGGGATGGAGTGGTGGGAGGAGTGGAGGAGGTTAGGTGAGGTCAGGTGTTAGGTGAGGTTGGGGTAGGCTTCCCTGTGGAGGAGGGTTTTCAGGGTGCGCCTGAAAGTGAGGAGGATAGGTGACATGGATTGGGGTAGGGAGTTCCAGAGGATGGGGGAAGTCCTAGAGAAGTCCTGCAATCGGGCGTGGGAGAAGGAGACCAGGGAGCTAGAGAGTAGGAGGTCCTGTGAGGAGCGGAGGGCACGGGTAGGGTAGCATTTGGGTATCAGGTCAGTTATGTAGTTGACCTGATACCCAAATACTACCCTACCTGTGCCTTCCGCTCCTCACAGGACCTCCTACTCTCTAGCCTCCTGCAGTCCCTGTACAGTACAGCAGAGCTCAAAGTGGGGAAGGGACAAGCCAATTAGACCATGTGCTGACAAGAAGCATTCTGATTGGAGGAGAAAACAGAGTTTTCCCTGTGGAGCTGCAAGCAGGGGGTGAGTCCAAGACAGCCTGGGCTCAGATTAAGTGGAATATTGACCATCATTAACCTACAAGGCTGAAGACATCTAATGGTGGAACAGATGTCCTGTGAGGTGACAGTTCTGAAAAAAAGGTGAGCATTG